GGTGAGAGATGAATCCATGATGTCACGTGCTACCAAGAAGAAAGCTTGCAGCCTACAGTCAAGGCCCGTTGGAGACTATCAGCATCCTGTTTCCTTGGTTCCACCAGCTCCCGAAATGCTACCAGCACCGTCACACTCTGGTGGTACTTGCCTCCAATGGCACTGTACTCCAGGACCTCCTTAAGCCGGGCAATAGCATCTCCTGTCTCTGGGTGCCCCATCTCATCCTCAGTCAGCATCCTGACAATCTTAGAGAAGTGCTGGGTGAAATCCTGCTTTTCTCAGGCATAAACATCTCATTTCTGGTCTCCATTCATCCTGAGGGAGGAGCAAAGTGCTCTGTCCTGGATACCAGTTCCTGTTTTCCTCACTGCTTTTTTCTTAAACATTTATTTCTGTTTACCAAGAAATGCATGCTCAAAGTTGAAAACAAAGAAAACCAAGACAAAGATGTGAAAAAGAACAGAAACAAGCCAGGTGTGATGGCTCATGCCTGTAATCCTATCACTGTGGGAGGCTGAGGTGGGTGGATTGCCTGAGCTCACAGGTTCTAGACCAGCCTGAGCCAGAGCAAGACCCCATCTCTAAAAATAGCCAGGCATTGTGGCAGGTGCCTGTAGTCCGAGCTACTCGGGAGGCTGAGGCAAGAGAATTGCCTGAGCCCAAGAGTTTGAGGTTGCTGTGAGCTGTGACACCTCAGCACTCTACCAATGGTGACAAAGTAAACCTCTGTCTCAAAACAACAACAACAACAACACAGAAATCCTGTAATCCAGATATAATTAACTACTGCCAACTTTGTTTTTAAACCCTGGTAAAAGCTACATACAATGAAAGCAAACATCTTGTGTGTAAAATTCCCTGCTATTTGACAAATAGATACACCATAACCAATACGCAAAACATTTCTCCAAAACCTCACCAAGGGTCCCCAAGTTCCCTCACATACATGTTCTCTGCTAGATATATGTATTACAGATACCTTCCTCTCAGTGTGCAGCTGGTCTTTTCACTTTTCAAGATATCTTTTCATCAGAAAAATTTTTTAATTTTAATGTAATACAATTTATTAATTTTGCTTTATAATCAATACTTCTGGTATACTAAGAAATCTGTTCTCTCCACATGGTCGGGAAATATTCTTATGCTGTTAAAACTTCATAATTTTAACATTATATTTAAATCTATGACCCACCTCACCCTGATAAAGATATCTAAGAAAAAAAAATCTACACATTCACTGTAAGATAAGAAACAAGACCAGGATATGCACTCTTACCACTTTTATTCAACCTGTGCATAGAATCGTGAGGCAGAAAAAATGCTAAGGAGGAAGGGAACTCTATTTGTAGTCCAAGGATAAAACAGTCATGTGCCTAGAAGAGCCAAAGAAATCTACATACATATAAATACTAATAGAATTCATCAGCAAATTTAGCATGGTTACCACGGTACATGGTCAGTGCAGTGCATAAGAGTCAATTGTATTTCTACATCCCATCAAGAAATTATTGCTAGTAATGTTTTCAAAAGAGAAAAAAATTAAAATATGAACAAGACCTTCACATTGAAAACATACAACATTTCTGAGAGCAATAAAGACCTAATCAAGTAGAGACAGATATCATGTTAATGAATTGGAAGATTTGGTATCATTAAGACATATAAGCTGATACTGAATTACACATAAATGGCCAAGGCAAGTCAAAACAATCTTGGAAGAGAAGCACAAAGTTGAAGGACCTGCACTACTCACTTCAAGACTTCCTATATAACCAAGACAATGTGGTATTAGAGCAAGAAGCAAATAGAAGCACCTGCACAACCAACTGACTTACGAAGGCACCAGGCAATCCAACGGGGACTGCAAAGTCTTTTCAACAAATGATGCTGCAACAACCAAATAAAAGTATATAATGAAATAAATCTCCATTGCAACTTCATACCACCATGTTGACGTTATGGCACACCTCTTTCACTAAAGAGGTTTTTAAAAAGATCATACCACAAGCATTCTCTTTCTATTCTGCCTTCCTTCCATTTCCTGTGGGTTTGGGGGTTTTCTTTTTTTTTTTTTTTTTTTGAGACGGAGCCTCAAGCTATCCCCCTGGGTAGAGTGCCATGGCATCTTGCTCACAGCAACCTCCAACTCCTGGGCTCAAGCGAGTCTCCTGCCTCTGCCTCCCAAGTAGCTGGGACCACAGGCGCCCGCCACAACACCCGGCTATTTTTTGGTTGCAGCCGTCATTGTTGTTTGGCGGGTCCGGGCTGGGGATTCGAACCCGCCACCTCAGGTGTACGTGGCTGGCGCCTTAGCCGGTTGAGCCACAGGCGCCGAGCCGGTTTGGGGGTTTTCTGCAGTATTTCTAAGGGATGCCTTAATTTACTTCATCACAAATTCCTTCCCTCATATCCATCCCGATGCTCCCAGACTTTTCAACCTAATCTTCCACCATCAGCTTTCAGTTTCCTCCCGCTTAATAAAAAATCAGAAACAACAACTTCCTCAAAGACACCTTTTTTCCACACCTCCATAACACAGCCCAAGAAATGTCCCACTCATTCAACACAGTCCAAGTACTTTCATCTGGCAGGCCCAGAAAACTTTGGTTTTCTGTAAAGTCTTTTCTGATTCCTCTAGCCAATTAGAACACTCTTGCTCCCTTTAAGCCCTTATCTATCTTCCTTTCTTCCTCTTATAATATCTGAGTCGTCTCCTCAGCGCTTCCCGATAGGCCTCAGTTGCTCTACCTGCTAGTTACAGAGCAGGAAGGCAGAACAAGCAAAGCCTGTGCCTTGCATAGCCTACGTTCTAGTAGGGAAGTCCACGAGATCATGAACCAGAAACCAGGGCTGTTCCTCATTACTTCTATGTTCTTTACAAAAAATACAAGACTTTGGACAAAGTTAAATGTTTGCACTAAGGAAAAAAAAAATCAAGTATTATGCTATTCAAAGCTTATTATTAATACACCAGTCAATTTATCTATCAGAAGTCAGAATCTCCTCAGTCTCCATAAAAGAAATGTAATGAGGCCTTACATAATAAATTCAAGAGCATCTATTACTTTATTCATATAGATAAGCAAGGTTTCTTTTCAAGGCTTCAAGTAAATCAAACTAAACCAACTACGTTTTAAAAATACATGAAAGCACAGGGAATTAATATGCATGCAAGATCAGTAATTTTAAGTAAAAGAATTGTGAATAAAGATTTATATCAAAAAGAAACTAAAGACTATGCTTTTTTTTAAGACAGTCTCAATTTGTTACTGTTGCCCTCAATAGAGTGCCGTAACATCACAGCTCACAGCAACCTCAAACTCATGGGCTAAAGCAATTCTCTTGCTTCAGCCTCCCAAGTAGCTGGGACTACAGGCACCCACCACAATGACTGGCTATGTTTAAAGACAGGGTCTCACTCTGGCTCCGGCTGGTCTCAAGCCCACGAGCTCAGGCAATCCACCCACCTCAGCCTCCCGGACTGCTAGGATTACAGGCGTGAGCCACCATGCCCGGTCTTAAGACTATACTTCTATAAAATATTGAGCTGCGCGTCAGTTTAATAAAGAAAACCAAGCATTTTATAGGGCAGGGTTTTTTAATCCTGACACTAGTGACAGTAGGAGTTGAATGGTTTTTTAAAAGCCATTAAGTCATATATACATAGATCATAAACACATTTATGCCTTTGTGGGATTCAATGTGTTGATTTGCAGTTTGGCCGGGGCTGGATTCGTAGGCGTCACCCTCAGTATATGAGGCCGGCGCCCTCCTCGCTGAGCCACAGGCACTGCCCAAATGATTTTTGTTACGGGAACTGCTCTGCACATTGTAGAAGGTCCAGCAGCATCCTAGGCTTCTACCCACCAGGTACCAGTGGCAGCCTCTATTAGGGCAATCCAGTGTCTCCAGATAGCCCCAAGTGAGCTTGTGGTAAATTACCCCAGTGAAGAACCACTCGTCTAGGACAGCTGACATTACTCATTTCTAAGGTAGCTTTAAGGTATATTGCTTTTACTTTATTTATTTGGGGGAGGGGGGTGCAGAGTTTCGATTTGTAACCCTAGGTAGAGTATTGTGGTATCATCATAGCTCACAGCAACCTCAAACTCTTGGGCTCAAGCCATCCTCTTGCCTTGGCCTCAAGCCATCCTCTTGCCTTGGCCTCCCAGGTAGCTGGGACTACAGGCACCTGCCACGGTTTTTATATTTGAATAGAGATGGGGTTTCACTCTTGCTCAGGTTGGTCTTGAACTCCTGAGCTCAAGTGCTTCACTACCTCGGCCTCCCAGAATGCTAGGATTACAGGCATTAGCCACCACTACCACCAATTTTTACTTTAAAAATAAAACAAAAACAAAAACTTGAAGCTATAAAACAATCTCAACTCACAGAAGAGGGGCAGAAAAAAAGAGAGAGTAAGAGAGAAGCAGGAGAAAGGGGTGAGAGGAGAGAGAAGGGAAGATGCCAATGAGAACTTACAAAGTTTGAGAGTTATTAAAATTCAACCAGTCTCTACTTTCCACAGACGGAAGGAAAAGTGGACACACATGGGCAAAGGCAACTTGTGGGGAAGAAAGGAAGTCACGTGACATGTTTCTAGCGTGTATTTATATTATTTATCCTAGATTTTGAAGACGATATTGCCCCTATGTTTTTACGCATACAATATGTATACCACTCAAACATGTGTGATATATGAGTGTATGAAGAACTATGGATGGTTTTAAGAAGATTTAAGGGAGCAATGAAAGACTTCTGACTTGTATGTCCTTCGGGCATGCCAACTTGGTCATGCCCACAGCCTTCTCAGACCCACACGTGACACCAGCACTCTGTCCATCCCTAGTGCAGCCTAAAACCACATAGAATTCCTTCACCTTTATTCATACAGCTAAGCAAAAAAAATATCCACTGCACAGGCGGTGCCTGTAGCTCAAGGAGTAGGGTGCTGGCCCCATATGCCAGAGGTGGTGGATTCAAACCCAGCCCTGGTCCCCCCCACCCAAAAAAAATATATATATATAAATTAATGTAATATTATTATATAATATATATCATATATTATATATAATAAAGTATATATATACACACACAAATACATGGCCCTTGGCCACAGGGAACCTTGCAGAGTAGGAAGGAGGAGACCAAAAACAAATGCAGAAACAAATGTGCAATTACACACTGTGGTGAGTGGGGGTGGGGGTTACTGTGAGCAGTGAGGGCAGGGCAGGGC